AAAAATTAACTAACAAATATAAATAAAGTGGATAGTATTTCGCGGGAAAAAATTTTTCTTTTTTCTTTTTTTTTTACAAAACATTTTTTTGTTGATTGTTTTTTTATTAATGATTAAAAAACTTTGAAACATTTCTTATTACTAGTACTTCTAAACATCACTAAATTATTCATCGATATAAACTTACTCATGCTATCTTTCAATATCTTATTTTAATTTTAAACACTCTTCATTACTACGAATTGTATATCTTTACATATTTCCTCAATCATTGATTGTATATTATTTAATGGAATGGAATTGATTATTCCTCTTTTTCATCCTTCTCCCAAATTTCAGTAGTACTATTGGCATTTGTTTAATCCAATTTCATCTTCATAAATTACAACTAATCATTGGAAGTAGTCATCCATTCAAATAATTACTATTGTTAAAGAAGCAATTAGACATTTTGAAATGATCGAAATTAGTACCTAATTTGATCAAGATAACGAAGTCTTCTATTTGTCCAATTATTTTTTTAGGATACGGTGGCTTACCATTTGGGTATATTGTAGTAAGCGGATATACAACACCAGAATTAGGCAATGCTCTTGATGTACGAATGTTACCGGCTGATCCTGAATCAATGACCATTCCAGCAGTCAATATGGATAGGCAGGTCAAAGATTTCAAAGGAATTGAAATTATATTCAAATATGAAATTATAGACTTAAGCACAAATACTTTTAGCATACGATATTAAGACTGCTTTATTCTTAATTAAACTATAATCAATATTCATATTCAAGTAGAATTAAAATGATATCAATTGGCTAAAACAAATTTTCCTATTTCTCAACTTATTATAAGAATTGCTAATAACTGGAATTCGATTACTTAGCCTTATTCAGTACTATCGATAAATGACGTGATAAAATTTTATGATAAATGATAAAAAATTTCAAAATATTACTTTAGTAATTTATCGGATATTTCTTACAACATTAATTATTCGCAGATTGCAAGGTTAGAATCACTGATAAAGCAATATCCATCACAAAATTTATTTGTTTGGCCTGGTTCAGTACCATTGATAAATGATAAAGGACTTTATTTTTTGCTTACACGGTACTTCTTCATTCACTCATTTATTTTTATCATCTCGATAATTCTTCCTCTTGCTCTTTATGATAAGATATTATTTCTTCGTATTTTTTTTTTTTTTGTTTAAATACAAAACTCTTCATTGACTTATTAACAAAGATATGATTAATTGATTAAATATAATATATCCTAGGATAAAATGTTACTAAATATATTACTGCTCTAAAAATATCTGGTAATTTCTTATATAGAAGAACTGGTCAAATGTTGGTTTATGAAACAAGTCTTCTTGGTGCGATTGAATTCTTACCGGATGGAAAATATAATCCAATGTTGATTACAGTAGATGATTCTGCGGTTAAGTGAGTTTTGTTTTATAATTTACTTTTAATAATTTTAGAATAGAATAAAAATAATAATGAATGAATGCTTTTCACTTTTTCTTTTGAAAATTTCAAAATTCATTTTTTTTTTTGATTATTTATCTTAGATTCACTCATAAAATTCATTTAATTTTTGTAGGCATCTTTCACAACGTGACCTTTGCATTAATTACGTGTCCATGTTAGCTCAACGTGATCGAACCTGCTGGATGAATTCTGTTGTGCCAGCTGATCCATCCCATTGGCGGAATGTTTTGCAACGAATTGTTGTTATAATTTTAGGGTAAAATTTATGGTTTTTAATTAATTCTATTAGTTATACTTTTACTATTATCAAAGTGTTTAGCTGGCGAAAATCAAATTTTTACGAAATTTAAAATTTTCAATTAATGATACATTTTTCATTGTATTTATTTCCATTTTCAGATTCATATTGCTATATTTCGGATCGTTATTCCTATGGTTTTCACATTTCGATGGAGGATTCTGCGCCTATTGGTTTGTTCGTGCATTCATCTGGATAAATGGAGGACATTTAGTGTCCAATATCGGGCTAAATCCCTCATTTTACATCTTTAAACTGGATATGGATTGTTATCGATTGTCAACCAAAAATTTTCAAGTAATGAACTTTCATTGGTGGTATATCATGTTGAAAATTTTATAACATATGACAACATCAATTCAACATCGTATTAATAACATTGCAGGCGAATTGTACATGGCTAAAATTTGGTGGCCATGCAATGATTGATGTAATGAATGATGGTAGTGCCATAATGTCCGAATTAACTCAGGAATGTAACATTATACGAATTACGGAATTTCCACCACCTTTTATCCCGCAAACACTTCGTCAACAAGCACTGAATAGGTGCATACTAACATTTTCAAACTTGTTTAAATTGAAAATCCTGAAATTCCTAAAATGATAAGATAGAAGGAAATTAAAAAATGATTGCAAAAATAGTGAGGAGTGATTTTGAGGAAGAATTTAATTCGATTCATTGAACTTTTCAAATGATGTGTAATAAAATTTTGTGCATGCAAACTGTATAAATATGAAACTTGGAATTTGAAATTTAAAAGGAAAAAAGAAAGAAAAATATTATAGATGTATTGATCTGTTCCCGAAGTTATGTTCTTCTGAAACCCTTCGACTGGAATGTGGTATTGCAGATTATCCGGAATTGTAGCTTTGCTAGAAGGAAAAAAAATATGGGTGATAAATTTGGAGGATTCTGCTTTTCAAATTAAAACTTCGAATTAAAACTGCATAATAATAATTCCATTGTATTTCATACAAATATATTGCCAAAATCATTTTTAAATATGAACATTTCTTTTTGTAGATGAACTTTCCCTTAAGCAGGTAATTCATGTGATTCAGATAGATGAAAATTTTAAAAAAAAAAAGGCTGAATGAGAAGAATCGTTCCGTTTCAAACATTGGCTAAACTTTTGATTTATTAAAAATGCAAATTCAATAGCAAACGTTTTTTTATTACATTAATTTGTATCCTTCTATGCGCGTCTTATTCATTCAAAACAAACAAATTAATGTCTATTTGAATAGTGATTAAATATATATATATAGATATATACATATATATAAGCTATTCAATGCTACTTGCTTCACGATCTTCCGGTAAATCATCAACATATTCACCGGTATCAGCGCTATCATCTACCTGTAAAATATTATTTATTACATTCGTAAATTGCTATCAAACATACACATTCCTTAATATGGAATATATCTTAATTTGTAAACACTCATATTTAGCAAATTATTTCAATAAATTATGAAATGAAATTTTTAACAATAAAATATTATCTTTTTTTTTTTGATACTTAGTTTAATTCTTTATAAATGTGCCATTTTTGATATTTTAAATGCAAATATTAATTAACATTTAACTTACCCGTTGTGAAATGCTTGGTTGTGTTTTATTAGTGAATATTGATGTTACTAATGAAACATCTTCAAATTCCGTTTCTGATTGTGTTTTATTAATTTCTAACATTTTATCATTATTTTTCTGTTTTACTGAAAAGAAAAAAGAAAAAAAAAAGTGAAACTAATTTTGAAAAATAAAATATAAAAGATATTGTAGTGATTTTTATCATTCTTTAAACAACATCATACAATTCTTATTTCATTAAAAATTAAAATTATTTATTAAATTTTCTTTTTTCTCTTTCTTAAATCGATATTATATTTATCAAACCATTTGGATCATTTTGTGTTGGTTGCAGAGAAATTGTTTTAATAGTTGTTTTATTGGATTGTATTGGTGCTTTTGAAGATTGCTTTAATACTGCTGTCTTTTTGATTGTTTCTATTGCTGTTTTACTGGGAGTTTGTAATGGTGTGGTAATTGGACATGCTGATAATGATTGTTTTGTTGCTATCTAAATTAAGACTATTAGTGATAAGGAACGGAAATGTGAGATGATCATGATAACTATCATATTTTAGCATATTTAATACAATTTGAAATAACGAAACCATAAAATTTCATTTGATATAATAAGCTTTTAAAATTACCGTGCGCATACTGTGTTCGTTAGATTCCTACTGTATCCTGCCCGATCCCTACTGTATTCTACATTTTTTTTCAAGCTGATTTTTTTTTTTTTTTTGATATGAAGAACTTTCGTTGTTTCCATGGTTTTCAATTTAACAATATTGGAAAATATCGAAAATCAAGAATTCTCAACAATTCAAAACTAGATTATCCTTATTTCGCATTTCAAATTAACGGTCGGAATTATGGAATTTGTAATTCAAAAATAAAATTTTAGATAAATTATCAAAGTTTAAATGAAATGGAGCAAATCAATCCGAAATTATCTAATAATATTAGTAGAAAAAAGTGATAAAACTGATTGGCAAATTCATAATGATGAAAATTGGTAAAGTTTTATCGGACAAATGATCAGCAAAATGTCGAATAATGTTACAAAGTTGAAATAATCGTCATCTAGTACGCTTACCGCTTGATTTGTGGTCATAATATCGGCATTTTGTGGTGTTTTTTGCTCGATTTTTTGCTTATTTTTAGTTTTGCACAACATGATTATGACATTCAATAGTATAAAATGACAAAATAGTCCGAATGGTACTGAAAAGTACAACCTGTAATTAGCACTAAATTAATTTTAGGTTTGAAACGTCAATTTTCATTACGTTACAGATTGTTGAATCAGTTAGATTGAGACACTTAATCTTCTATTTTAGTATCCGTTTCGTTTTTGATTTTGACACTACGTTCATTGTGACATATTAATGGTTTTTTTTCTTTTCGTTCTTTTTTTTTTATCGAACATATTTATGCCATTCTCAATACACGTCATTTTTGGATTCAACGTGCTACGTGCACTTGGACACAAAGAAAATGAAGTGCTTCCCGCAGTTTTATTTCTATAATTCTTGAAATTTTGGAATTTATTCCTCATTTTCTCTTGAACATTCTTTTAAGCAAGACATAGCAAAATACTTAATTGAACATAATAAATTACTATGGAGTAATAACACCAAGCATCTTTTTGTTTCCCACAAAATCTAACAAAATC